TTCAGTCTTTGTTCTTTTACTGTTATGTTACTTTGTTAATTCATTAATTTCAACAATTTTTGAATTAACGAGAACAACATGCATACATCCTCATTTAACTTTCCATTAATTCCACAAAAGGTATCAATGACAGCGAAGGGAATGGCAATTTTACTTGCACTCGAAGCAATTCCACACTCCTCCAACATCAAAATCAATACAGATAACCAAGTGGCTATTTCAATTATCAGCAAATGGACCACACAATCAAAATATATTTCAGTTTGTAAAATACTTAAAACAACATCATGGCAAACATGACACAATATTACACAAATAATAAAAGAAAAAAATCTTTCAATTTCACTCAAAAAAATCAAAGCACACAATAATAATACAACCAATGAAATCACAGATCAATTAGCAAAACAGGCACTTACTCTCAATAATAGCCCCATCAACAAAAAAGTTACACCATTTACACAATTTCAATTCGAAGCAATGAGCAATCATCAACTCATCAACAGTGATCTCAGACAATACATTAAAAAACAATCAAAAAATCGACAAAAATTACTATAGCAAAACAATCCCATAATTAAAAAATAACTGTTACATTTAAACTTAGAAAATATAGATTGAAAATCCACATTCTCTATATGGCACCATGATGGTAAAATTACATCAGGATACACATCATCTAAAACTACAGCTTTTAGAATATTTGCCCTACGAAGTTTTCACAAATGCTTACCGACAGCACATTATCTATACTCACTCTGGCCTGATCTATATAAAACAGATATTTGCAAAACATGCTACATAGAAGAAGAAACCACCGAACACTTCTGGCTTTGCTATGGCATGTCTGCTGAACGAACAAACATCATCCAAGAGGCTAAGTTAGAATGGCTCAACCTAATTCAAAAAGCAAACAACACAACAAATAGTACACTATTTACAATAAACAACACTTTCTTTGAACTTCTTACTGTTACCATTTCATCAAAAAAATTTATAATTACTTAATTATTATGTTGGGATCTTGTTCTTTCCACTATTCATCTGTTATTTCAATTAGGTCGTTGTTTTCTTGTTCATGTAATTTAATTTTAGTGTCTTCGATTACTGCTTCTTCTGGATAAGTGAGATAGTTATACATTGTTTCTTTTGTTCTCCATCGCTGTGCATTCCAGTCTCTAATTATTGGTTGTCTTATGTGGTCATTTCGATAGTCATGTTGGTTTTGATATTCATTTATTATGTTTTGTTGGTTTTGTTCTTTTGTTTCTAACGCTTTCTTTATTTGTTCCATTTTTTGTGTGATGGTTTGGTTAGGTGAATATATCAATCCTAACTGGTCTTGCATTTCTGTGGCATTTTGGTATATCTGTATTATGAATTGTTGATTATTTTCATGTTGTTTTTCTATATCCTTTGTTTTACTGGTTCATGTAATTCGTTTGCTAAATCTATAGTTATTTTTTCAATGTTTAATTGAGGATTCTGCCTAATTGCGGTGGTAGTTGTAGTCCATTGTTTCCTTGAGTTTGTTTCTTTCAAATTTGTTTCATCGTCTGTTGTGTCTGTTTCTGTTTCAGTTGTACTTTGTGATAGATACTTTTTCATGGTGTTGTTGTCATATAATATTCTGATTTATCCTGGTATGACTTAATAAGTTTTTTAATTGTTCGTTTATATATAGTATGTGGTTGATCATTTGCTATATCTTTGATGATGGTTTGTTCGTTGTATGTGTTGTATATGTTTTCTGTATACTGTTGTTGTATTTGTGATACATATTTGATAGTCATAGATTTTTCTTCATTTCGATTTCTTTGTTGTATTCTTTTCCATGTTTGTTCTATTGTAGGTTCGTAATATATTACGATTGTGTCATAGAACATTGTTTGTACTTTAGTGTTTGTATGTTGTATCCATTTCCATTGTTCTAAAAGTATAGTTATTTCTATATTTGGTCTGTCATATTTTTCGATTATATTTTTCCAGAAAAATACACCTGATAATGGCGATCTTTCCATTATAACATAATTGGGTTGTGTATGTTGTTCTATTTCATTTGCTAATTCTTTTAATTAGTTATTTCGTGATCTGATTATTTCCATTTGTAGTGTGAAGCACCATTTTTCTTGGTCTTTATTGAATAGTCCTAATGTTTGCCATTGTTCAACGGGTTCGTGTAATGTTTTTACGGTTAATCCTTGTTGTTCTAGTCCTTCCTTAATCAATTATAATTGGGTGATCTTTCCAGTTCCAATATTTCCTTCTAAGATTATCATGCGTGTTTCTCGGTCATATGGATTTTTTCATTTTGTTTGTTTTTTGTGTTGTTCTCTTGATTGACATTGTTGGTTCATCATTGTGTATACTTGTGTATTTTTCTTTGCAGTTTTTCTAACATGTGTTGGTATGTTGTTATGTCTGTTGTTTCTTCAAGTAAGTGTTTTATGACTTTGTCGTTGTTTAGTAATTTCTTTTTTGTGATTTCTATTTCTTTGTGTATGTCAGATTTATCAGGTTGGTTTGTGGTAAGTTTAGGTAATAGTCTTTGGAGTGTTTGTTCGTGTGTTATGATATGGTATACTATTGTTCGAATGTATGGGAAATAATAACTTTCTTTTTGTTGTTGGTTCATGTTATCTTGTTTAGGTTATAGGTTATAGTTTTCTTATATGTTTTTCCTCGAGTAATTCTTAGGTATTCTCAGTTTCCTCTTCGTGATGGCATGTCACGGTATTTCAATTTTTCCATAATAATTGTTGTGTTATTCGCTTGTAGTTGCCTTTCCTACGTTGGGATGCTATGTTTGCGTTAAGTTGGGCACATCAGAGGTTAAATGTTCCTTGTCCCGGGGTGAGATGGATCAGTATCTTCCCCTTTCAGCGACTTCGATATTGTTGTTGCTTCAAGGTGTTTCTTTGGCGTCAGTTCGCACTAACTCTCAGTTCTTCCATCCGGTCGGTTTCCCTAATACTTATAGCTTGCTCATGAACTATTGGATATTCAGTTTGCTTCAAGGTCTTACAACTAAATGCCTTATTCATGCAACGCGTAGAATTCCACATAGTCATACTCCTCGTATTGGGTGTATAGTACATCCGGTCTGCTTTCTTCTCATCTTTTGCGTATGAGCAGCAGTCATAGATTCGTTTTCTAGTGACTAACCTAGGTGTCCCTCTATGAAGAAATTACTTAATTAGGTAGAAATTCTCAATATTTCGTGTAAGAATGTTAATCCAGGCATTAAACTTTTTACGACGAAAGAGATTGTCCTTCTTTCTACTTTTCATATCATCAGATGATACTATATCTTTCATTTATTATGCATAGATCTGAACCGTATGTTTCTATTATTTCAAGAATAATAGTTTTCACGTATTCTATACATTCTTCTATATGTCTCTTCGAGTTACAAATTCTTTCACTCGAATATCTTTCCTTTTCGACCATGTAAAGGTGAATTCAGTATAGGCATTGGTATTATGTTTACGTAGGGTAAATGGTATTACTTTCATAAGCCAGGGAATATCATTGTCTGTTCTTATTTCGAAGATTTCATGTATGATACTACTTTCTTCTAGTAAATGTTATTATTATCGTCATTGCTAGTTGGAGTTACGATAAGTTTAGCAAATCTTTGATGAAAAGATTGTACCATCCTTTCCGTATAACAACGCGTAAAATAACAAATACGTTATCATAGTTCTTTTTCTTAATTCATTTGTAATGTCATCTCACGACTTCGATATCCAGCCATACATATAATTCGAATATTATAACCTTTTATTTGTATGCTTTAATCACATGTATTTAACATTAGAATTTTAACAGTGTTCAACTAGAGATATTACCAAACGTGATATGAATGTGTCATAAATCACGTGTTCTTTTTACATATCGAGATATGTGAATTCAATAGGTTGAGCATTCCTATTTCCTCCGAGAACATTTTCATATCTGTTGGTGTGACATTATTATTCAAACTTCATAAGTAATATGCTATGTAACTTCAAATGATATTGTTTTTATCAATTTAGATTTTATTGTTATACATTTGTACTTTGCTCGCTAGCATACATGATGCATTGTGGTGTTTAGTGCTTAGTATTACTAAGTACAACAAGTATATTCTTAGACTTTTAATGGTTGTAAAGTCATTGATATGGGAATTCTCGATAAGGTTCAACACTTATCAATAAGTTTTCCAAGTATATCCTTAGATAAAGAAACATTTCTTACCAATGGAGCTTGGTCGATTGTGAATTACCATGATAATTGGATTTGTGACAATTTGAAAATTAGAACGTTAAGGTCTTCCGTTCGTCCTACCCGTTCTGGGTTTCCAGCTTTATCTCAAGCTAGATTGTGAAAGTTTGGCTTATGATTTTCCATTCTCATAAACTTTGCTTCTTCAACTCATTCTTCTTCGGTGTCTTCAATTTCTTGAGTAACCGGTAAGCATAATATATTGTTGTGCTTCAATTGTTAAATTCAATTTCCGGCACTAATATTTTCTTACGAGTAGAGTTGGTGTTAAAGTGTATCTTAGTCATTTAACGTCTTATAATTCATATCATCAAGACAGTATCAGAATATCACGTATTCAGTTTCATCATATCAGTTCACTTCAGACAGTCAGCCTATTCCCGTGATGCTTAGATATGTGAGATATTGCTAGATATGAATTTTTGTAATACTTTCTGTATCTGCTTTTTAAATAGTCTAAAGTAATAAGTCATGGTTTGCACATCAACTATCACTCTAGTAAAATTCTTCGGATTAGGTGATCAGTCTAATCTTTTACGATACACAACTATCATGAAGGATCTACAGATTTCTTAATTTGATATATCTATTCAACAGTCGTTTACTTTTTCAGGTTTACCATACACCAGGTTCTCCTTACTTTTTCTTCGGTCGTTGAGGTGTAGTCTGATTCAATATTTTCAAATATCATTGATGTAGAATTTAGCTAGAGTTCATCACACTCTAACCTCGTAATACATCTAATTTTACTTATTGTTTCAGATTACGGTAATAATTCAATTGGTTCATTTGGTCTCCCATTTCTGATTAGCCAGGTTAAATTACTGACTTACTTTTTCAGATGCGTCCTGTACTGTTCAAGACGGATTAGTGTCTGCCATCTTACTTTTCAGTTTTCATGAAACAAGCCATCCATAATGGTCCTCCTTACTTCAAAAGGAATTATTATAGAATATTTATCAAATACCTAATATACAGTATTATGTATAGTAACACAATTTAAGATAGCATAGGGCTTTTGCGCTCTTATTGCAGTCAAATTCTTGGTCCGGAATCTCACAGTCACCAATTTATCATTTAGAGGTACGATGAGTGGTCAGTTCATCATGAGACAAAGACTGATTAAACCTTTATAGTGAGAGTTACGCGATCCAAGAATATAAGACATTAATTTGAGCTAAAGATGGATATAATATATATATCATAAGATAAAATACTATAATCACACCTCTTTCGAGACCGCAAATATAGCCAAAGGCTAATATTTATTTTCTCTGAGAGCCATGTTTACAGTTAACTATATTCTAAAATACATACGATAAGTTATACAGATAAGTTATATTAGTATTTTATGTATGCTAATTTTTTGTTTTTCCTGTTAATTTAAGTATGTATTCGTTTTGGTTTTTTATTACTTTTTGGTGTGTTTGTTTATCTTTTTCTTTCTGGGCTAATTGTTGTTGTAACTCGATTATCTGGTTATTATATCTTTGTGTTATTTTTGTATAGTTCAGGTTTTCTGCTGTTAGTTGTATTGTAGTTTTCTTTAGTTCTGACAACTGTTTTTGTTGTTTGTTGTTAATGTCGGTTAGTCATTTTTCTTTTTCTTGTAATGTCGTGATTGTTTTTGTCAGTTGATTTTTTTCTTCCACTTCGTTTTCTAATTCTTGTATTTGTTTCTTATTTTCTCCTTTTAGTTCTATTTGTTGGGTTAATTCGTTTATTCGTTCTTTCTTTTCTTTTAGTCTGTTTTTTAATTCGTTGATTTCACTAGTCTGCTGTTCCTGTGATTGTACTAGTTTTTCCATTTCAGTCGTTATTCGAAGTATTTCCTGGTCGTGTTTCTCTGCTTCTTGTTCTGTTAAAGATTTTTCTTCTCTGATTTCTTCTACTTTTTCTACTTCCATTTTTGTTTCTTTAATTAGTCTGATTAATTTTTCTTTTGATGATTCCGTTAATGTTGATTTGATAAGTCTTGTTATTTGTCATATGTTTTGTTCATATTGTCGATCATTTCTTTCTAGTGTTTTTGTTCCATAAATATCTAATATATTTATTTCGTCATTTCTTTCTTTTATTCTTGATTCAGTTATTAGTCGTCCAATATTTCTATTCATTCTGCAGGTCTTTATAATATATTTCTTAAGAAACTGTTTCATGTTTCCTTTATCTTCTATCTCAAATGTTTCTTCTAACTGTTTAGATTTTGTGATATGATCTTGGATAGTTGTCGTGGTTGTTCGAGTAATTGTTTGTGTTGTTTCATTTTCTGACTCGTCTGATTCTGTTCCTATTTCTATTTCCTTTTTCTTTCTTCTTTTTTCAGTTGTTCTAGTAGTTTCTTGTTCTTCTGTCTTATTATTCCGAATTATTTTGTACGATATGTTATTGATCATTTGGGATATTAATTCTTCGAGTGATTCAAATCCTAATTTTTTCAATAATTTTGATGTATTTTTTGTTTCTTCTATTTCGAGTCGTATAGTCATGCATTTTTTTATTATTTGTGTTAGATCTTGATCTTCTTTTTCTAGTATCCATCGTATGTCTTGTTCGGTGAGTGATGTCTTTGTTGGTTTTCGTATTTCTAATGTCATTTTTTCTTTTTTCTTTTGCTTTTCTTTGTCGGTTGTCCTGTCTTTTTATAATAGTTTGTTGCTTGTTCTTCAGTTTGCCATTGTCTGTTCAATCCATCTGCTATAACGTTTATTTTTCCTTTTATTTTTTCTGCTTGGACGTTCATTTCGCACATGTTTATTAATATTCTGTCGATTTCTGGTGATATGGTACGTTGTCCTTTTCCGTTTAGTTTATCCACTAGTGCACTATTATCACAGTATAATTTTATGGTGCCAGTAACTGGTCGTAGCCATCAGTTGAATTTTAATAGTGCTAATGAGATTGCCTTTGCTTCTTTCCATATCGTCGGTCATTTTAGCTCATTTTCTTTTAGTTTTGCTGAGTACCATTTGATTATTCCATGTTTTTGTCATAATATTGCACCTACTCCTGAGTCGCAAGCGTCTGTGTATATTTCTAATGGTTGTGTCCAATCTATGTGTACGGTTATTGGTTCACTGGTTATTATTTCTTTTATTTTGTTGAAAGCTTGTAATGCTTTTGTTTTTAACGCATCGTTTTCAGGATTTTTCTGGTATTTTCGTAAGTGTTCAGTCAGTTGTGCTGCGTTTGGGATGTGGATACTGAGATAGTTTACTATTCCTAGAAATGTGGGTATTTTGGATATTTTTTGTTTTGTATCAGGGAACTCCCATTTAGAGATTGCTTCTATTCTCCCAGGCGTAATTTTTGCTTGTTTATTTGTTATAGTCCATCCTAATATTTCAATTTTTGTCTTCATGAAGTGACATTTGGATAATTTTGCTTTTAAGTTTTCTTTTTTAATTAATTGTAGTACTTTGTTCATCCTTTCGATTGTTTCTTGTTCGTTATTGGCTCCTATTGTTATGTCATCTATGTATATATGTATCCAATCTTCGAATATTACATCGTTTAGTATGAATTCCATTGTTCGTTGAAAGAATGCTGGTGCATTTTTTGTTCCAAAGGGCATTCGTGTTGGTTAAAATTGTCCCATTCCCTCTACTCCATATGCAAAGTATTTTCTGTATTCTTTTTCAATTGGTATATGGTAGAATCCTGAAAGTATGTTGAATGTTGTGTGGTACTGGTATTGTTTCATGTTTGCTAATACTTGTCATATGCTTGAAAATGTATATTCCATTGATACAGTGACTTTATTAAGTGGTGAGTAGTCTTGTACTATTCTCCATGATACTTTGTTTGATGTTGGATCTGCTTTTTTTGCTACGGCCAAGCATGATGCTTGCCATTTTGATTGTGATCGTTCATGTAATTTATTTTTTACTAGTTCTATCGTTTGTTTTTTAATTTCATCTTGTGCGTTCATGTTTGTTGAATATGGTTGTGTTTTATATGGTACAGCTCCCTTTATAATTTCTATTTTGTAACTTATTCCCTTTACTACTCCTATTTTGCTAATATGTTGTCTGAAACATTGTTTGTTTTGTAATATTATTTCTTTAATTTTACTGGTTGTTGATATGGATTCTACAATTCTTTTCCATTGCTCGTTATTTGTTTCTGTTATAGATTTTGTTGTCCAATTAGTTAATTCTTTTTGTATATCATTTTGTTGTTTACATAATTCTTTTACTTCTTGATGTAACTTGTTAATTTTTTCTTGTATCTGATTAATTGTTTGTCGAGTGTTTTTCTTTGATTGCTATCAGATTCTTGTTTGTATACTGTCAATAATATTGTTGTGATATTTTACATGTGTTTCTGTCATTTTTTCTTCTTGTGATAATTTCTTATATTGGTTGAATGTTACTAGTTTTCATGTTGTATTTTTTTCTGGTTCTTTTAACTGTGGTATGTCTGTTTCAATGTATGTTATGTATACATTGCATCCATTTCCATATCTAGTGTCTTTAAATATATATACTGGTTGTGTTTTGATTCCTGTTTCTTCTATTGTTTCTCGAACACAAGCGTCGTATGCCGTGAGGTCTTGTTTGTCTAGTTTTCCTCCAGGTGTTTGGTATAGTCCTGCTATTACTTTTACATGGTTATGTCATTTTGATAAGAATATCTCTTTTTTATTATAAAGTATGTTTAATACAAACGTTGGTAACATATTTGAGTTGTTTATTTTGTGTATTTCGTTTTCTTGTTCCTTTTCCC